AGCGGAGCACAGGACCCTGCCCGTCCGCACCCCGGCACTGGCACCGCCTCGGGGCAGAGACCCAAGCGCCCTTCCCAGCTCCCCCGCGGGAGAACGATCCTGCCCCGCCAGCGCGGCGCTGGGGCCCATGGCCGAGGGGCAGCTCGGTTCTGGGGCCGTACGTGGGGCTACGGGCGCGGAGCCGGGTGCGAGGCCGGATCCTGCCTGTAGATGCCAGCAATGATCTTCCCGGCGCCGGCTCCCACTGCAGGCACTTGCCGACTGCTTCAGCCCCCGCCGGGCTGAGCTCGCCCAAGAGCAGTGAGTTACCTTGTTCTCAAAGTTGTACTTGCTGAGGTCTCGGGATTCAGTGGCCCGGCGGTCTCCGTGAGTTAAGGCACCCTAGGAAGTCAGACCAAGCACAAAGGTCTTAGTTTTAGCTGCTGGAGAACACCAGAGAAGGATGGCCCAAGCCACGTCTCAGAAGAGGCCAGGGTAAGAGCGTGCTGGGGGGAGGCAGCGTTCCTCTGGAGTATTGAGGCTTCACCAAAGTATTCGGGGATTTATCAGAAGTGAAGAAAAATTCAACAGAGACAAATTAATTATTCTATCAATTATTTCATCAGCTTTTGGGCAACAGATGGGTGTACGCTCCTGTAATGGTGGGGGAATTCCAGCATCTGGAATTGGGCTCCTCTTCCCTGAAATTCCTCCTGATGCCTTGGTTACGTAGTTTTTACTTCCTTTCCCAAACCCCAGGATGCTAAAAGCCTTCTGTGTTGCACAGCTGCAACGCCTTCAGTCGGGGTGACGCAATCCCCCGTACTGGTCACACGGGCCACGCCAGCGGGAACACCGAAATGGAAGCTCTTCAGAGACAACTGGCAGTGACACGTTAACCTCCTTGCCGCAGGGCACTTACCAGGCTCTCCAGCCGTTTTGCCACGATGGATGCAAACCTCCTCTCCCCCGCCAGCTCAGAGATAAGGAAGACATACTCTGGAGCAGAAACCTGGTTCGATCGGTGTGTTCGACCTACGGGGACACGAGAGCAGAGGTGAAAGGGGGTGGCTACAGCCTGTCTGTACGGGAAGGGAAGCTGAGCAAGAGGTGAGGCAGCCAAACCAGCTGGCTGTGTCACGGCCGGTTCGCAAAGGAGATCTCTCTCGGGGGACAAGGACAGAGGCACAGTCGCGTTCATCACCCTGGTGCTGCCGAGACCTTGGCAGAGTCCAGTTGATAGGCCTGACCCTCTGGGGTTGAGGAGTGACTCCTCAGTTTGAGATAGGATGGGCGTTATTTCTTTGGTGCTCATGTATTGAGGAACTGTCCCTCCCCATCCTACAGACCCCCCCAGGGCGGAACAGAAATCCCCTAGCACATCCACAAGGACACACTGCTGACATGTATGGGGGGATTCCCCCTTCCCACACCACAAATCACCCCTGAAGTCAACACAAACCTTCCCCACAAGACAAATCAGCCACAACTGCTTCATGTCTGCGTTTCCATCCTGGCAAAACACGGGAGCACCGTGCTCTGCAACCTGCTGTACCTCAGAAAGCTCCATACACCCGTCCCGGCAGCAGCCCGAGCCCAGCTTCGGTGGCCACGCACGCCTTTCCTCCCCGGGCTTCAGGGTCTGAACCGTGCTCAGGGGAAGGGGACGGTGACCGAGAACACCCGGCCCTCACCGAACTGCTGTATGGCCCGGTCTGCGCTCCAGGGCAGCTCCAGCGTCATGTGGACGCGGCGCTTCTGGTTCTTGACCCGTCTGTCTGCTTGGAGAGAGATTCCTGAGCTGGAGGCCTCGGAGATTATTGCTACGAGCTAAGGGAGAGAGACAAGGAGAAAGGGGAGTGAGATTCCTGGACACCTGCAAAACTGCTTCAAGAACCAGCCCAAAGCGCAACTCCCCGGCCCGTGAAGGGACCCAGGACTCCTCGTCACCTTCCAGCAGGTCAGACAGAGCTGCAGAGCCTTGTTGGCTTGAGGCTGGCAAGGCACCAGCACCCGAAGGCACCCTCCCTCTCCTCCCCCTCGCAGCGTACTCGCTCCCGCGCAGATGTCGGGAGGTTTCCTTAGCCCGAGCCCGACTCACCTTTTCCCCTTTCATAAAACGCTCCTTCTCCTTCAGGTTGACGTGGTCTATAGAGAGGCCCTGCTCTGCCCGAGACTCGAACATGACGGAGCCATCCGGCCTGCAAACGACCCGGCCCTTCCGCCCTGTCATCTGCACACACCGCGCAGGAGAAAGAGAGGCCGTTAGCAGAGGGAGAGACCTGCACGGTGCTGCAAGGCAACGCAGAAAGTCAGTTCTCAACAGCTTTTGCAAGCTGCAAGGAAGGAGAAAAAAAAAACCCTTCCAGCAGAAAGCCCGTGTGCTGGCCCCTTTTCCTGCCTCCGGTGCCACAAAATATACTCTGGACTGTGAGGAGTACCTCAGCCACGTGCTCCGGGCCCCCAAAGTGATTGATCAGTTCATCCAAGGTATTGAGAGGTAGCTCTTTGCCCAGTGCTTTAACTTTTGCTAGGAGGTCCTGCTTCAACTTTTCCACGTGTTCTAGTTCTCTCAGGCCATGCATCTCTTTCTGGGACGGCAGCATGTGAAAGTTACCTGCAACGTAAAAGGCAAACGCTGAGAGTCACCTCGTAACTGCAAACTGAAAAAAAAAGGGGGAAAGAAAAAAGTTCCAAAGGGCTCCTGGGGGCACTGTGTGGTGAGCAGGCCGACACCTCGCCTGGCAATAAGGGCTGCTGAGCGGGCAGTGGATTCCCTCTGCGCTTCCCCACGCTTGGGTGGGGGAAGGAGCACGCAGGGCAAATTCCTCCTGCTCGCTGACCACGGGGGCTCACACGACCCCCTCCGCTTACTCCTGTCCTCGGCCGCGAAGCCGTTGTAGGTGTGCTCCACGAAGATGACGTCATCCGTCTCAAACACGGACTCCGGGGAGGAGTTGAAGTCACTGTCCAGCCCGAGGTCGGAGTCGGTGCTGCTGTCGTCGCTGATCTTGATCACGCCCGCGGGGTCACACACGCCCTTCAGAGCCTTGGCGCAGCGGCCCCTCGGCTTCCCTGCGAGGGAGAGCGAGCGGCGTCAGGGGAGAGCCCCCAGCCTCGCGCAGCGACGCAGAACAGCAAGGGCCAGCTCCGAAAGAGGAGGAGGAGGAGAAGTCACAAAACAGCTGAGGTTGCCCCAAATGAAGGGCTGACCTCGGAAAGACAGAGCCTCTCGGGTGGGGCGGGGGGCAGTTAGGAAGGGAGGGAGAGAGGGAGAGGGAGAAAGAGAAAGGAAGAGAGAGAAAGGAAGAACAAGGCATCTCGCTCAGGGCTGAAGCTAGCTGCACACGGCAGGACGAACACAGCCAGCTCTAAGCAGTGCCAGCTCCTCGGCGGAAGGAGCCCGCAGGTCTGACTGCCTCCAGAGGACCCAGCAGGACCCAGGAAGGTGCCAGTGTTTCGGGACGTTGTTCACCTCCAAGCACAGTCAGACATGCCCCTGCTACGCGAGAGGCGTCACAACCCAGCTTGCACGGGCTGCCCTGCGCCAGCGGCCGGTCAGGACAACCTCCACATCTGCCAGTGCTGCCGTCCCTTCTTCCCCCTTTCCCACATCCCACTGGAGGACAAATCCCAAAACTCTTCTTACCTGCAGCCACAGCCAATAATTCAGCAGGGAAGTGATTTTTTTCCCCCCAGGACACCGCCATGCTATAAGTAAGGGGCAGTGGAGGAAGCCCCCTTGCTGCAAGCAGGCTTCAGACATGCAGCAGGACTCTTGTGCAACCTGCCCACCGGCCGGGGCACGGGGCACAGCTACGGGCACGTGGTGGAGGCGAGGACCTACGCTGTGCCAGGGCAGGGGGTCAGAGGGAGGAAGGGCTGAATGACCCAGAGCTGCCGTCCTCCAGCTGGGAGAGAGCGACGGGAGATGTGCGGGAGGGCAAACTGAAACCAGGGCAGAGGAGCAAGAAGCATGAAGTAGGGAAAAGGGAAAAAGGAAAAGAAAAAGCTGAGTGGCTGGGGTGAAGCAGCAAGGCAGGAGGTCAGATGCTGGGCAGTGGAGTGTGCTCTTACGTTTTCTTTTAATGCCAGTTCCTTTTTCTCTCTTTCTTTTGGTTGAAGGAAAGTGCTTCTGAATTAGTGATAGAAAGACGCCTCTGAAAGTAAGATGCAAAATTTATTCTAGCTACCAGGAACAGGAACACCTGCCAGTTATCACGTAGCAATGTGTAGTTGAGACAGCACCACATTTCATGAAGGAGGGGTAAATCCTGCACCACAGCTCCCAGCCGCTGGCCCAGCGCGGCTCTGCAGAACAGCAGCACCGCAGAGCGAGCGCGTTTCACCGCGGGGTTCTGCCCCGGGAGCGTGGGCTGCGCCGGCAGATCCTCAGCCAGGCCACGGGCGTGCTGAGGGAAGGCAAAGCACCGGAATGCCGGGAAAAGGGCTCTCTGCCGCGGCCTCCCTGCTGGCGGGGGGAGCGGGGCCCTTCCGGGGAGACGCTGCAAGGGAAGCAGAGCAGACCCCGGGCTCCGCGCTGCCACGTGCCCTGCCAAAGCTGCAAGACCTTTATATGGCAACTAAGAGGGAGTTTTAAATGGGAAACACTATACTGGGAAGCTGTGACAACACCACTGAAAAATCCAGTAAGTCCCAGCCCCTCTCCATGCTCTGACAGCAGAGACCACTGCCGGGCTGGCCAACGAACGTGCTCCAAGTCCTGCGGTTAACGGGACGTGGCCGCTCGCCCACGGACAGGGTAAGGTGGCAAACCACGGGTGTGTAGTGGTTTCAGGTGAATGGAAAAAATCAGAAGAGGTGGAAAACAAACGTTTCTGTGGGGTGTTCTGCAAATAAAAGAGCAAATGCTTAAATGCTGATGGTGTTGGCTGGGGATGGACCCCCAGAGCAATGAGAAGGCAGCGCTGAATGAGCTCTGGTTGGGAAAAAAAAAAAACCCAAACGTTGAAAGCAACAGCTGGGAGGTATGGACATGACAACGCCCGTGTGAGAAAAAGGGGTCTTGGGAACCAGGGAGGGAGCTGTAAGACCCTCGGTGTGAGGGGCTGAGGGAGACAGAGGCAGCCCCACTCCCTGAAGGGGCAGAGCCCTGCGCTGGCTCTCAAGGGGCCGCAGTGACACGGCACCAGGAAGGACAAGGGTGACCCCGGGCTCACAGCACACAGACTCACTCTCAGGTCTGAAGCCCCCTGCCACGAAACCTCGCTCGTTTTCCCGACACTCGCACGCCCTGCCTTCCCGAACAAAGGGCCGGGCTGGTATCGCTCACTGAACAATCTGTTTATTTTTAACCCTGTTTCTTGGCATCTTTTAAACAACTGCTCCTTCCCAGAAATCCCCTGAAGTGCTGTAAAACCAGGGTGCCGGCTCGGAGGCTCAGCAGACGCCAGAAGACGCTCAGTTATCTGGCCCAACCAAGAGCTCTTGCCTCTAGCACTGGGGACAGAGCCGAGCACTGTGTGCGAATACTAACAGACCTCTCCCCCTTCGACAGCTGGGCAAGGCTCAAAGGGACCACGTAGTCCTCGAGACCGAGTTCCTCTGAATTCTGTGACATGAAAACCAACCCCAGAGACCAAACCGATCCAAGCCGCTGTCAGACTTGCCTTGCGCCCTGTCACCGAACCGGTGTTTGTTTTCCAGGCATGGACTGGGGACAGCAGAGTGACACAGAGCACCACAGCCCCCCACCAACGAGGGAGGAAAGCTTGGCCTAAACTGTACACATACTGCCTCTGGCATCTCTCATTGCTTTCACCTGCATTAAAAGTCACTTCAAAAGACCTCAGTAACAGCCCTGCCACCCGCAGAACAGAGGAAACACAACTCAACCCCACGTCCCAGGTTTTCATCAACCACCGTGCAGGAACAGCCACGTTCGTGGGACAGGCTGGTGTTCAGAAATGAGGCCTCATTCTCTGCTGACAGGTAGCCTGAGTCCTGCTGCCGGCTTCCCTTCAGGCACAACCAGCTCTGCTCTGAGCTAGGAACGAAGGCAACGCAACCGGGACTCTGGTCCCGCCTCGTGCACGTGCTGAAAGCCCACACCGGTGAATCTCAACTCCTCGGACCGCTCCTTCCTCTCACTGCTCCACAGACGCCCCCTCACATTATCTGTCATTACACGAGATCCTTTTGCTCACTTCATCAGAGTCAACAGCCCCGTCTTCCAGAGTCAGACCAACCCAACCTACACCTCAGCTCACGCTTCGGGCTCTCCCAGTCCTGCCAATCCTTTTACGTGCACAGAGAGCCGGACCAGGCTGTTCGTGCCGGTTTGGACCCCAGGAGACCTCAAAGTCCAGGCTCAAGCTCACAAAGTCACGCTGAAGGAACAGCACCTCGAGGACCCCGCTCGGCATCCTCTCCACCTACAGGTGCGCAGGGCGAGGCGCTGCAGAACCGCACCGCAAGCACTGCAGGTGATTCGCGGCGCCAGGGCAGGGCTTTCCCCGGCAGCACCGGCCTCCCATGCACCCCCCAAGAGGAAAACCAGGGATTTTAACTCACTCTGCAGCAGAGACAAAACAATTTAGATGCCCGTCGTTCTCGTCCAGGACCTCTCTGGTGCGAGCCTCGCCGGTGGACTGCAGGCCGATGACGATACACTGCAGGGAAAC